CCTAGTCTGGCGTAGTAGTTAGCCCCCCAATGGGGCTGAATTCTAGGCGTCCTAGATGGGGTGCGCCGCATCGCTGATGCATCGGCGATGCGGCTCGATGCGGAGCCCGATCTTCTCCACGCCGACACCGCCGTTGCATCGCCGGTGCATCGGCGATGCATTGGCGATGACCGCATCTGCTCTGGCCCCCACCCATATAGGAGGCCTCTAGTAACTAACCCTCCCCAGCCATCCCAGCGAAGACCTCCCAGCAGTTGCCCCCTAAGTGCTCCGGGCCAGGGCCGACCGCGGGCGAGCAGATGGCAGCCGCCCAGGCCTTCGCCGTGGTGCCCGCCGCGGCCCGCTGCGCCCCCGCCGGCCGCGCGCCCGCCGCCGCGGCGGGGGCCGCCCGGCGCTGTCACGGCGCGGCGTCCGCCCCGGCGGGGCGCGGGGGCGCCGCCGCCGGAGCCCTGGTCTGCGCATCGCGGGCAGTGCCCCAGGGGTCTCTCCAAGTCGGGAGCGAGCAGGGGACGTGGACGCGCACGAGGCCACACTTAGGCTTCGAGAGGGCGCAGGGCGCGGGCGCTCGCGTCGCGCGGCCGGAGGCCCGCGAGCGGGAGGGGGGGCGTGCTCCTGTGCGCGGTCCTGGGCCAGGCCCCATGCCTTGCTGTAGAGCTGCGCGCAGGAGCCCGGCAGCTGTCTTTTCTGGTCGTCGGTGCAGCTCTGGAGGCGTCGGCGCGTAGCCTTAAGTCGGACCTGTCCCTCTACAGGGGGAATATTCAAAATTGTTAAGAAATAGTCTGGGGACTATTTTTTGAGCACTGCTGGGCATCTTTTGAATATTGTTGGGTATTTTTATTGTTCGTCCAAAATCCCCCTGTAGGGGGACGCGCCCGACTTACGTAGCCCATGGCGGCCAGTTAATCCCAAGCAGACATTGCAGATTGAATAAGCAGTCTGTCACGCCTCCCGGACGCCCTGCGCCCCGACCCTCTGGACCTGGCCCCCCAGGCATACTCAACCAATGGGTCCTCGTGCCCCAGGGGGGTCCCCAAGTGAGGAGCGAAAACTGGACGTGCGTGAAGCCATCTTGGTTTCGAGAGTGCGCTCGGCGCGAGTGCTCGTATCGCGCGGCTGGTCTCGCGGACCAGGGGGGCGTGTTCATGTATCCGACGAAGGCATCTATACACCACCACCGTGCCAGGCCAGGGCCATCCTGGGCCCCAGGATGGCGTATAGACCCTCTTGGCCTCGGCCAGGAGGGCGTATACACCATCCTGGGGCCCAGGATGGCCCTGCCTTGGCACGGTGGTGGTGTATATATATATATATATATGTATATATATATATATATATATATAGATAGATATGCCTTCTGCGAAGTGTACGTGGTCGGGCACACGCGTCCTCGGTGGGCTCCCGACCCGGGTTCGGGGGACCGGTGGTGGCATGATCGCACAAGCCGTCGGAGGTCGGGGCGTTTGTCTCGGATCGACGCGGGACACCCCCCTCCCTGGCGCGCCAGGGGCGGCGCCAGAGGCGGCGCCAGGGGCTCCAGCGCCGCTCCGAAGCACCCGCGCGGGCCCTGGTCTGCGCATCGCGTGCAGTGCCCAGGGGGTCCCCCAAAGGTGTTTTGGAGGGCAGGTGTCTAGGATGTCTGGGGCGTATGCCAAATCCAGCTCGGGCAATGCAGGAGACAGAACGGGGCGTATTGGGATCGGTGCGGGGGTTACTGAAGCGGGAGGGGATTGTCAGTGGGTGCCAAGGTGGGTTACATCTGGCTTAGCCTCGCCTACAAGTGTGTACACACTGCCACAAGTGGCTTAGGGATCTTCCTGTTCCGGGCTAGGTGGGCTCCGCCCACATGTAACACCCCTAAACAATTTGGAGCACAATTAATTATCTATAAGTTTGGTTCGGCCAGATAGAACCCACCTGAGCATCCATTGATAAGCGCCCTACCCCATTAGCAACCCCCGCGCCGACCCCAGTAGGGCCCCGATCGTGATGTTTCGCGATGTTGCATGTGTTCGCAAGGTCGGATCTCAGGGCTCAGGCATCCTCAACGGGGTCCGAGCAGATGGGGTCGCAGGATCGCGCCGCACCGCCGATGGATCGAGGATGCAGCTCGATGTGGAGTCTGAGGTGCTTCACGCCGACGGCGCCGATGCATTGGCGATGCATCGGCGATGCAGCGCGATCCTCCGACCCCATCTACTTGGACCCCATCTAGGCTGCCTCTGACAAGGAAGGGGTGGGGCCACGAACTCCTCTAGGAGCTCGAGAGTCGAGGAGGGGGAGCAGGAGGAGGAGGAGGAGGAGGAGGAGGAGGAGGAGGAGGAGGAGGAGGAGGAGGAGGAGGAGGAGGAGGAAGGGGAGGAGGGAGGATCGAGGATTGAGGATGCTTTTGTCCAACATCTTCGAGCGCCTTTCTGGGAGTCCCGGGGGGGTCCAAGGGGGTCAACGATCGAGCAAGCGCAGACATAGATGAAGGCGCGTGGATTAGCGATGGGCCCCGCTTCCATGCAGAATCGGCATGCTCCGTCGCCAAATCAGGCGGCGCTGCCTTCATATTTCTGGGGGTCACCTTTCCCGATCCGTGGACCTGGCGCCCACGCCATCCACGACTTCGTCATCCATGTCGGACTCCGACGTCGTGAATGTCTCCCAGCGTGGCCCCCCAGAGATCTGGACCCCTTCCCCGGGATTGGTGTTTCCTCCCTAGTTGATGGTTGGCGGCCCTGGGTCGTCAAAACAATCGCCCAAAGTGTTCCGCCATGATTTTCGCACCACGAGAGGAGGAGGATGAGGAGGAGGAGGAGGAGGAGGAATACAGGAATACAGATTGCAGCCACGTCCTCAGTGGCAGCAGCATAACCAATCAGAGGAGGAAACCGAGGGCGGCGGGGCGGCGCGCCTCCGCGGGGACGGCGTCGATGAGCGGGGCGAGGCGGCCACAGCGCGGAGGGCGGCACGCTCGCACTCCGCCCCCGCTCTCGCTCCCTCGCTCGGCCTCCCTTCCCACGACGACGACGCCGCCCCCGCCGAACCCTCGGTCCCCACCCCTTCCCTGGGGGAGGTCCCCGCCTTGGGGTACTCCTCAAAAAAAAACCTCAGGCAAGGATGCATACCTGAGGTATCCGTCCAATTAAACAGGGCCGTGCTCGCCAACCCTCTGAGATCTGACCTCGGAAACGAGGGCAACCACCTGTGCGCTCGAGACGGCAGCTGGGGGCCCTCTGTAGGAGGGGAAAAGGCCCTTAGAGATCCGTGAGAGGTTCTCTCTGCCCTTAGCAGTCGGCTCCTGACAGGGTGCAACCAGCTTGCGTGGGTCGACAGTGGCTGTGCAGCCGCACACAGAGCAGAACGTGATGCCATACTTCTGCCATTCGTGCAAAGAGAGGCTGCCATGCAGCCTTTGGCCTCCAACCTTGATCTCGCCCGCCAGACGCGCGAATCCAACACCCGTGAACCGCCCAAGAGCAGGGGCCAGGCCAGGAGACCGCACATATGGCTCGCCATTGTGGGCAGCCGACACAGCACCACACGGCGCCCCGCAAATCGGGGGCGGAGGAGGAGGAGGAGGAGGAGGAGGAGGAGGAGGAGGAGGAGGAGGAGGAGGAGGAGGAGGAGGAGGAGGAGGTAGAGGAGGAGGAGGAGGAGGGGGGGAAGAGAGGAGGAGGAGGAGGAGGAGGGAGGAGGAGGAGGAGGAGGAGGAGGAGGAGGAGGAGAGCGTGGTGGTGGAGGAGGAGGAGGAGAAGAAGGAGAAGGAGGAGGAGGTGGAGGGGGTGGAGGCGGTGGAGGGGGGGAGAGGGGGAGGAGGAGGAGGAGAGGAGGGAGGAGGAGGCGGGAGGAGGAGGAGGAGCAGGAGGCGGAGGAGGCGGGAGGAGGAAGGAGGAGGCCGGAGGAGGAGGAGGAGGGGGGAGAGGAGGAGGAGGAGGGAGGAGGAGGGGAGGAGGAGGAGGAGAGGAGGAGGAGGAGGAGGAGGAGGGAGAGAGCAGCGAGGGGGAGGAGGAGGAGGAGGAGGAGGAGGAGGGAGGAGAGGAGGAGGAGCAGGAGGAGGAGGAGGAGAAGAGGAGGAGGAGGTAGGGGGAGGAGGAGGAGGAGGAGGAGTAGGAGGTGCAGGAGGAGGAGGAGGAGGAGGAGGAGGAGGAGGCAGAGGATGGAGGAGGAGGTGGAGGAGGAGGAGGAGGATCGATGAGTGGGAGGAGGAGGGAGGAAGGAGGAGGAGGAGGAGGAGGAGGAGATGGAGGTGGAGGAGAGGAGGAGGAGGTGGAGGAGGAGGAGGAGGAGGAGGGGAGGAGGAGGGGGAGGTGGAGGGAGGTGGTGGGTGGAGGATGGGAGGAGATGAGAGAGTGAGAGGAGGAGGAGGACGGGGGGTGCCCGACCACGAGAGGCGGTGGAGACACGCTGTGTTCACGAGCGGCGGCATCAATTCGTATCTGCACGTTCGCGGTCTGGGCACCGAGGCGCGACGGCATGGCCATCCCATGGATGCGGGCCGCGCAGAGCGTGTCGCCGCGGCGGCCCCAGCGATACGCTATGTCTTGCGAGCGGGAAGCGTGTCGCTTCGTGTTGCGCCGAAGCGTGGTGGGCCAGCACCTGCGGAGCGACACGCTGTCCCAGAGTTTCCGACTGCAGTCCTATAGCTGGCCTCAGAGGGCACCCTGAGCAGCTCCCGAGCAGCCCAGGGAGGTCTCAACACCCTGGCGCCGCCTCCAGCGGCGCCCTTTGGGGCGCTCCGTGTTGAGGCAGCCAGCGGGACTACTCGGGGGGGTGGAGGAGGAGGAGGAGGAGGAGGTGGAGGAGGAGGAGGAGGAGGAGGAGGGGAGGAGGAGGATGAGGACGTAGGAGGAAGGAGAGGAGGTGGAGGAGGAGGAGGAGGAGGAGGAGGAGGAGGAGGAGGAGGGGGGGGGAGGGGTGGAGGGGGAGGGGGGAGGAGGAGGGACGAGGAGGAGCAGGAGGAGGAGGAGGAGGAAGAGGAGGTGGAGGAGGAGGAGGAGGAGGAGGAAGAAGAAGAGGGCCCGAGTGGCACTGCCCGGGCCATTGGCCGCCGCGGGCGGCCGCGCGGCGCGGGAGAGGCAGGGGCGGCGGGGTCAGCGTCTGCGGATCGCGCGGTCGGCGATCACGGGATCGCAGAGATCGGATGATTACAGGGTCGCCGATCGCGTGACTGGTTCGGCTGGATCGCGCGGTCGTCCGAACTCGAAGGCGCGAGCGCTCCGTGATCGGCGGGGTGGGCATCGTGATCTCGGCTGCGATCAGATCACGTGGACCCGGAGGGTCTTTGGTGCTGCGCCCTCCGCCCCCCACCCCCCCCCCCCCCCCGAAGTCCTCGGCGGGGAATAGAAGCTCTCTCCTCCTCCTTCCCTCCTCCTCCTCTCCTTCCTCATCCTCCTCTCCGCTTCCTCTCCTCCTCTCCTCTCCTTTCTCCTCCTCCTCCCGCCTCCTCTTCCTCCTCCTCTCCTCCTCCTCCTCCTCCTCCTCTCCTCCTCATCCTCTTCTCCTCCTTCCTCTCATCTCCTCCCCCCTCCTCCTCCTCTCCTCCTCCTCCTCCTCCTCCTCCTCCTCCTCCTACCCTCACCTCTCGCACCCTTCCTCCTCCTCCTCCTCCTCCTCCTCCTCCTCCTCCTCCTCCTCCTCCTCCTTCTCCCCCTCCCCCTTTCCCTCCCCCTCCCCCGTCCTGTCTCGCCTCCCTGCTTCTTTGTCCCCTCCCCCATCTGCTTCCCTGTGCATCGGGTTGCGAGATCGGCCGCGTGCTTCGCCAGACGCCGAGGCGGAGGGCGGCGCGGCGCCCCGTGGCCCTGCGGGCGGTGCGGCGACCCTGCCACGGCGGCGAGCACCTGTCCAAGGAGCCCCCCGGGGCGCTCGGTGCACTCGGGGGCATTCTCTTTGCCCCCCGGGCCACAGCGCGCGTGAGGATCTCCTCCTCCTCCTCCTCCTCCTCTCCTCCTCCTCCTCCTCCTCCTCCTCCTCTCCTATATCGCCCTCCCCCCGTACCGTCGAGCACCTGTCCGAGGAGCCCGGGGGGGGGGGGCTCCCCGCTCTCCGCCCGCCCCCCCCTCACCCCCGCACAATGTGATGCTTCCCCCCCACCCCCCAGCGCATCCCCAGCACCGCTGCAGTACGTCCAGCACCACAGTCTGTGTTGCAGGGCTCGCCCTGGGGGGGGGGGAGGGGGCGTCACGCTATGCCCCCTTCCTCCCCGCACTGCGAGAACGCCCACCCAGATTGGAGCCCAGTGCTGGTTCCGACCAGCAGGGATGGGGGCGAGGTTCGAGGTTATGGGTTCGATCGTTTTTGCTTGCCTTTTGTTCCCTCTCTGGGTGCCTTTCTCGGGCCCCGGGACCGCCAACACACATCTCAGGAGGGGTCCCCAGGGGCTGCCCTTGCCCTTATCCCCCCTTCTTGCCAGACTCTCGAGGCCCACCCAGTTCAGGCCCCCGTGCTGCCTCCAACATCCAGACAAGTCGACTCGGGAGATCTTCGCCGGTTCACTCCACATCGGCATTCGAGTGCACTACTAGTTCAACTGACAGGGGGCTGCACCAGTACGTACTGGTGCAGCCCCTTGTCGGTGTCGCTGATCGACGCGCGTTTCCCCGGAAAGTGCATCCGATTGTTTTTGGACGTCGGTTAGCTGTTCCGCTCGGGTGCGCCCGGAATTCGGTACCGTGAGCACCCGTGGAGGGCCCTAGGTAGTTTTCATGACAGGGCGTTTTGCTGGAGTGGGTTCTGTCAATCCTGGACACCACGCTGTTCACAGGCTCCCGGCGCATGGAACAAAAAAAAAAGCCTGGGGCTTCTCAACGATTTCTCGCCCCCTGGGGCCGTTGGCGGGGCCCGGGGCCATGAAGCATGGATCTGGAGCGAGAAGCTGGCCCCGGGGGTCGGGACCGCTGGGGCCGCGCATCGAAAAAAATCAGGCGCTCCCTGGCGCTCCCAGGCGTTCCCAGGCGCTCCCAGGCGCTCCCAGGCGCCCCCAGGCGATCCCAGGCGCTCCCAGGCGCCCCCAGGCGCCCCCAGGCGCTCCCAGGCGCTCCCGGCACGCTCCCAGGCGCTCCCAGGCGCTCCCAGGCGCTCCCAGGCGCTCCCAGGCGCTCCCAGGCGCTCCCAAGCGCACCCTGGCGCTCCCGGCACGCTCCCAGGCGCTGGTCGACGTGAAACCACGACGGGATGTGATTGCTGTCAGTCTCTGCCCCTGGGAGCCCTCGCCGGGCCCTGGGGCCATCAAAGACGGCTCAGGATGCAGCGCCAGTCCCAGGGGAAGGGGTCCAGACCTCTGTGGGTACACAGTGTGTGAACAAGTCACGAAGTCGGGGAGTATGGCTATACGGCACAGGCGGCCCGGATGAGCAGGTCGACCCTGCCAGATCAAAGCTACCTTTGTGTCCTGGGTCTCGCGACCCACGCCTCCGACGCTCCTGTGGCAATGTGGCCCTCGGCAGGGTCTCGTGCCCTCTCGCGTGCCCTGCCCAGTCAAAGCCCGACGGTATACGCCCCGCCTTGTTTTTTTGTTGCTCTCTCCCCGCCGGCGAGCCCATCGGGGGCAGCGCTCGGGGGCGCATGGCGGTCGGGAGCGTGCCACGCGCGGACCCAAATTAGACCTCGCCATCCCTGGGGGGCTGCGATGTGTGAAACTGTCGCCACTTTCGAGGCCTGCTGAGGGGCCCAGCACAGTGACGCCGCGCGCGGACCCAAATTAGACCTCGCCATCCCTGGGGGGCTGCGATGTGTGAAACTGTCGCCACTTTCGAGGCCTGCTGGGGGGCCCAGCACAGTGTCGCCGCGCGCGGACCCAAATTAGACCTCGCCATCCCTGGGGGGCTGCGATCTGAGATCCCCGCTTTCGAAGTGGCTAGGGTTGCTCAGGGATTGTAACTAATCAGCTTTATCTAGTCCTTGTCCTGTAGCCAGTGTACTGCGAGTCTCCCGAATTCCGTCTGCAGACATATGTAACCCTCGCTTCATCATCGCCCCCCTTATAAAGTGTCCTAAACTATTTGCGCCCCGCGTTTGCGCAGGGGTTGGGTACGTCGCCAGGGTAATTTTTTGTTGGCCGGCCGGGGAGCCAATCGAGAGGGCGACGTTCGGATGGGACAGGCTCGGGGGGCAGCGCATCGACCCCCGATCGCCCGCTGATCGCCGGTGGAGGCCTCGCAGCCCAGCCGGCCCAGCTGGCTACGGATTGAAGAAGACTGGCACGAATTTGGGGGGTCTGCGCTGCTTTCCTGGATCGGCGCTGGACCCCCTCTGGCGGCGCCGCCCCTCGCGCAGCCCGTGCGCCAGGGAGGGTGGTCCAGAGTGGATCCACGCAGTCCGCGCGGAGCTCCGAATGCTTGCTTCAAGTCGGGCCCGTCCCTCTACAGGAGGAATAATCCAAAATAGTCAAACCAGAAGTCTGGGGATTATGTTTTGCGTATGTTTGTTCATTTGGGAGTATGTTTTGGATATGTTTTATTTTTCGTCGAAAATCCCCCTGTAGGGGGACAGGCCCGACTTAGTGCTTGCTGTATGCTGTGCGTTTTGTTTCTTGCTCTGCAGTGGCCCAGAATCTCGGCACACAGACTCTCCAGGTTTCCAAAGCTCGAGGAGAGGCTCGGAGTCCGCACGCCGGGTTCCCCAGAGGTCCGACGCACTTCCTGCCTGAGCCGTTGTCTGACGGTCCCCGGGATGCCCCGCGAGGGCCCCCGGAGGCCGAACTCGACGAGATCAAAAAATGCGGCATTACACTTTTCAGCACGTGGCAGGTCTGCGTCGTTGGCCGTCCAGGCGGCGCGGCGCATGCCTCCAGCCCCCTCCCAGAGGAGCGGAAGGCCGAGCTGGTGGAGATCGTGTCGCAGATCTGCACGCCCGGCAAGGGCATCACCGCCACGGACGAGGGCCCGGGCACCATCGGCATCCGCTTCGAGGCGGTGGGCGTGGAGAACACGGAGGAGCACAGGCGCCAGTACAGGCATCGGAGAAGGAAAGCTGGCATGCGGTGAGGGCGCTGGAGAAGGAACCGTTCGATAGGGGAGCCAGGTTAGGCGTTCCTCGGCACGCAGACGTCGCGCGTGCGGTGGGCCCCAAGCAGCAAGCGGAGCGAAGCCGTGCGGATAGCAGAGGAGGCCACGTGGGCACCACAGAGAAGGCACTGCGGACAACAGAGGAAACCAGACAGATCTCAGAGGAAGCCATGCAGATAGCAGAGGAAGCCGTGCGGATAGCAGAGGGCGCCAGGCGGAATAGACGACGACGGCAGAGGGAACAATGCGCAACGGAGGGGGTCATTCGCAACAGAGGACGCGAGCAGGGGCAAACCAGAAAGCCACGCGGGCAGCAAAGGAAGTCATGCGCAACAGAGGGCGCGCATAGGGGCAACATGCGGGACGGGGGAGGCAATTGGGCAGTTTTCCCCGCGTTGCGCGAGAACTCTTATAGGCAAGCCTATTAGGAGAATTGTTTCATGTCCGTGCGGGCTTATCAGAACGGCGCTGGGCCCCCTGGTGGCGCCTCCGGCGCCGTCCCTTGCGCGTGCCGCGCGCCAGGCAGACTTCCGAGAGATTATGTTTATGCCGCCTTTTGTTCTTCTCAGGCAGATGCTGTACAAGACGCCGGGGATCAACGAGCACCTGAGCGCGGCGATCCTGGACCCAGAAACCATCTACCAGAAGGACGACGACGGCAAGTTGTTCCCCCAGGTGCTTTCCGACCTGGGGATCGTCCCGGGCGTCAAGCCCCACCTGAAGGTGTACCAGCTCCCCGGCACTGGCGGCGATACCGTAATGCAGGGACTCGACTCACTGGCCGCGCGTTGCGCTGAATACAAGAAGGCGGGCTGCAAGTTCGCGAAGTGGAGGAGCCCGTTGGCGATCACGGAGGACGGGTGCCCGACGGACCTGGCGATCAGGGCCAACATGGAGGACCTCGCCCGGTACGCTCTGATCTGCCAGGACGAGGGTATCGTGCCCATCGTGGAGCCCGACATCGTGATGAAGGGCACGCACACGCTCAAGACCGCGGTCGAGGTGAACACTCAGGTGCAGTCCGCCCTCTACAAGGCGATGCTGGACCACGGCGTCTTCATGGAAGGCTGCGTCATGAAGACGAACCTCGTCAACCCAGGCCTGGACTGCCCCCAGTCCTACACCGTTGAGGAGATCGCGGACGCAAACCTGACGGTGCTCCGCAGGGTGATGCCGATGGCGGTTCCCGGGGTGAACTACCTCAGCGGAGGCCAGAGCCTCGAGGACGCGGCCGCGCGCCTGGACGCCATGAACAAGATGAAAACGAACGAGCCCTGGAACCTTAGCTTCTCTTGGAGCTGGGCGCTGCAGGCTCCCCTCTTCAAGCTATGCGAGGGCAAGGGCGGCAAGATGCCCCTCGACGACATGGGCGCGCTGTACCTCAAAGAGCTCGGCACGGCCAGTGCCGCGGCCCTGGGCAAGCATCAGCCAGCGCCGGGCGATGGCGCGCACACAGCGAAGTAGGTGTCACGCTCGTGAAGTGAGTCGCTCGGCACGACAGCGAGTGGGGCGTTTCGTGCCACATCGTAGACCTGATCAGGCACACGGCCAAGGCCGACACGGCTCGGGGGGCCGCCGTAGAGTACGAGCGAACTCGTTGGTGCAATTTCATTTCGCTGTCGGCAGCAGCAGTCGAAAGGGGCTGCGCGAGTCCGGCGCCATGCACCGGCAGGGCCGCGGATGCTGCATGTGCCTGTGAGGTTTTTGATGCCACATCCGTCACGTGGTTACTCAGGAGACTCACGCCAATCCGCCGACCCCCAAAAGAGGAGATGCGCGGCTCAGGATTTCATACTTGTTGCTTGCCGCCCTCCGTCGTGCTACATGCGTGTAGTTGTTGTTGATGTGTTTTCTTCCTTCTCTTATCACCCGTAGTCTTAGTATTAGTACTAGGTAGTAGTATTACTGTTACGACTCTTATTCGGATTATTGGCATTACGATTATTATTATTATTACTATTATTATTATTATCATTATTATTATTGTTACTTGTGGTATTATTATTTCTCCGCGTATGTTGTGGTACATTTTGTGAGCCTCTTGACGATCTCGGGGGCCGCCTCGTGGAAGCTTTTGGGATTTGGGCGGCTTCTTGGTGGCCTCGTTGGAGCATGTTTGTGTCCTGGGGGGCCATCGTGTTGGGGAGGGCTCTGGGGGCACCTGCGAGTTCCCCCTGTGAGGGCCTTCCCGACTGCTTGTCTGGCTGTCTTTGGAGCCGTCTTGGGGCCCTCTCGGGGGCTTCGTGGGTCGCCATGGGGTGGTCTGAGGCCGCGCGGGTCGCCCAGGTCGTGCATGAGCTCCAAAAGGTCCGAACGCCAACGTAATGATCGAGAACACAGATGGGAATAAGTGAAATGGGCATCTTGGTACCCACTTAGTGGTTCTCCTGGAGCCTGTTGGGACGTCTTGGTGGCCTCCTGGCCACGGCTGTCAGGAGACCATCTTGGGTGCTCTTGCGAGCCTCTCGGGCGTCCTGGAGCCCATCTTAAGCCATCGTAGAAGGCATCGTGGGCATCTCACTGTCAGGAGGGGGAAAACACAGACACAACTAATCGTCGACACGCAGAAAATTTGGGAAACTATGGTAAGTGGGGGGGAGACGAGATTCAAGAAAATATTGGACAATGTGGGGGATCTTGGGATTTGCGCGCGCGCGTGTGTGTGTATGTGTGTTGTGTGTATGTGTGAATGTGTGTGGGTGTGTATGACTGCAATGTGTTTGTGTGTGTGCGTGCGTGCGTGCGAGCGAGCGGGCGAGCGTGCGTGCGTGCATGTGCGTGTGTGCGTGCGTGCGTGCGTGCGTGCGTGCGTGCGTGTGTGTGTGTGTGTGTGTATGTGTGTGTGTGTTTGTGCGTGTGTGTGTGTGTGTGTGCGTGTGCGTGTGCGTGTGCGTGTGTGTGTGCATGTGTGTGTGTGTGTTTGTGTGTTTGTGTTTTTGTGTGTGTGCGGGTGCGTGTGTGTGTGTGTGTG